TCGAAATTTTACCTTCAAAATTTAAAGTAACCAGACCTAGTCCCAGACCCAATTAAAATAACCCCGTCCGATCCCTCACGTCACTTACTATGCAAACTAGATATCCAATAACCTCTTGGACTCATTCCAGCCGAACAAAGCCCATTCATGTTCCCAAAATGCAAATCTCACATACTTAACACCGCCTCAACTCTGGAGTACTCAGGCACAAGAATCCGAAATAAGACAATTCACCTCTCGAGCTGGCCAGTCCCAAGAGTAAACCATCTACAATCGAAATTCCTACCAGACGTACCTATCTATGGTCCTCAATTACCACGAAAAGTTTTAAGCCCTATAACGTTCACAATTCAGAGCTTAGGCTCAAACGAGCACTTATTCCTTCATACCTATTCACCACTTAGTCCAGGCTCACTCCGCGCAGAGACCACGCGAAGCAGGCTCTGATACCACCTGTGACGGCCCCACCTCCCCCTAAGGCGAACCAGAGGGTTTGGCGGGTCGCCTGCCCAGCTCTCGCCAGGACTACGGATCAGATTAGAGCTATCTATTGCGATCCGGAACTTACAAACGAGCGTAAACAGGTCAAAATGGTAAAATAACCCAAAATAAAAAAATAAAATGAAATCCGGAGTCGGTCATGAATAGTAACCGACCCGTCAAAACCCAACCGAAAGAGCACGCAAACATTCACATATGAACTTTAGCGATTACAATCCAAAAGAACATACAAAAGTTTTCAAAAGTTAATACATATACACGGTTTGCCAAATCAAAAGAGAAAACGCCCCAAAAGTACACTTAGGGTTTTAATACATGAGCTATACAAAAGATATGTTCAACTAGCTCAATTTGGCAGCCATTTGTCAAATCCAGACCAAAAGGGCAAAATTTTCCTGTAAGGAAAACAAAAGGAACAGAAAGGGGTGAGCTTGCGCTCAATGAGGTACCAAACAGATAGCATTAAAATCATGGCATTTCACATTTAACAAATCAGACACACATGTCAGATGTAAAGCAAAGGAACCAATGATTCAAATCAGAAGGATACGGGTGGCTCTCAGGAGCCAAATTTCCAGCGCAGTACTTGATCCAAACCGGTTGACTCTCCGTCAACGTATATAGAACCAACGCGTCCGTAGACCCCTCTTATCACCGAATTCCGTCCACCAAACACCCCTTTACCGGGCCCGCTCACCTCAAACGAACAAAATGGTAATACTCGAGTATACCGGAATCAAGGGTCTCAATACCCAAAATCCCCGAACAGACTACCGTGGTTCGTTATCTAATCGTCCAGGCCCTTGCCGGCCCGACTCGAATAACTTAGCCACAGGATTGAGCTCATAGGTCATAGAAATCCGAACAGATGCAGACACAGATAACATATTCAAATTTTGCATAGTAAATTGGCATATGAACAGACCAGAGAACGAGTGTGATAAAGTACACCCCCGTCTCGAACAAATAAACAGATTGCAGAGCAGAAATCAAGTTAAACAGCAATGGAGGGGAGTGGTACACTCACCGGCTCAACTTCAAAAGTTTTTACTTCAGATTGGCCTTAATCGCCAAGAAACCCTAAAATAGCCAAAATAAACCAATTGAAGGTTTCACATCCATAATCGAGTAAACAAAATGCACATGAGGCTCGACTACCAGTCGTATGCCTCGCCAAATAATTACTAATGCAAGGGTGGAAAACATGATTTTCTTGAAAACGAAAAGGTAACATGAAGACCTAGGCACAAACAACCCAAAAGTCCTTTGCTCAAATCACAAGTAAATCCAATAAAATTTCGGCAGCATAACCCTTGTGTTTACCTAGTTTCCAGCCATCATGGCTTCATTATTTCCTCAATTCAGTCCCAACATCTCACACAAAATTCATCTCATTTACCAAAAGCCGTTCACTAGTCTCAAAGTAGTACAAGTACAAAAGTTAGCTAGGAAATGATAGTACAAGTACAAAAGTTAGCTAGGAAATGATCGGAATAAAAACAAGCCCTAAAACTATTCAAATAAACACAATAAAATTTGTTTACAAGTCATAAACCAAGGCCAAGTATTACCAAAATAAGGTTCCATAAGAATATATAAGCATTAAAGGAAATCAGAAAAATCCGGAAATGGAAATAAGCTTTAACCCAAGAAAACAGTTTTTGACATCATTTTGCGGTTTTGGCACCAAAGGCACTACGATTGTCGGATGAGGGTGCAAGACCCACCATTTCGAAGCTAAAAGACAGGGCTACAACATCACAGAAGGTCACTCAGCCCATTTTTGTGTGCAAACAGGTCAAAAATACAAAATACTACATCAAAACCGTAAAACAGATTCACCAAAACGCATTCTAGCGGAAATATCATAACTCAGGCCCTACAAGTCCAAATCCAGAAATTCCAAAACCAGATGAAAGCTAATAAACAGGGCTAAATTTCTTCAGAAGGCCTCAACAACTAATTCGGAAGCAAGACAGACCAAAACAACCAATTACAGAAGCAAATCCCAATTTCGGGTAAAACCAGAACAGCAATAGTAATTTCGACTTTTCTCATTCTACACTACTCCGATTGACCTGAAATTTTGTAGGCACCTCTAAAATGTCATTCCCTACAACTTTCATGTTTTGAGCTAAGGCCAATTAGGCCCCTATCTAGGACCTAAAATTTCGGACAGAATGCTCCACTTAAGAACCCTAGGTTTTCAATTTTCTTCCAAAACAGAAATTGGTTGCAATTAATCACTTTTCCCACCTACTTGAGTCATTAGAGACCATTTCTAATCATCCTAAATAGCCACACAATCATGCTTATATTAAAACAGAAAAATCCCCAAAAATAATAAAATTTCATCATTTCCACAACAAATCAAGAAATAATCCATAAACTTGCATCTTCTACTTTCACTAAGCATGATTTAAGCATCAATTAAAGGGGGGTGGTTCTTCACAACTTACCTTTAAAACAAGAGAGAGAGAGCTATGGGTCACCTTAACCTTCCAAATAACTTCACACAACAACTCACAACCACTACTTGAAGGTGTTTTATGAAGAAAAATCAAGGTTGGATGGTTGGTTTTGGTGATTGAAGCAAGATTGAAGCCAAAACTTGAAGAGGTTTTCTTTCTTCCTTTGAGAGAGAGGGCCGGAACTTGAGAGGAGAAAATGGTGCAATTTTTGGTTAATTTTGTGATTTATTTGGTCAATGGTAAGACATGGAATAGTAGTCTTAAAGGTAACCCAATCAAATGGTGACACTTGTCACCTAATTTAATGCAAGTCTATCACTTTGTTTCCTCTCACATCAATCCAAATTTGCAACCTCAAAATATCTCATAACACCCGATAAAATAATTCCAGCATCCAAAACGTAATTCAGTTGGCCGAATTTTTCCGAACTTTTCACACTTGTGGGTCCCACGTCCGGTATACGCTCTTAATTTCTAAAAATCTATTTGATACTAGAAAAATCATCTGAAAATTATATTTACTCATAAAATTTATCTAGAAAATTTTCCGGATACAGAAAGTGCAGAAAACAAATCATTGAAAATAAGAAAACCTAGAAATATAATAAAACCTAGAAATTGGAAAAATTACGGGTTCTCACACCATGAGCCTTTCGATCTCTTAATTGCCCACTTTGGCTACCAATCCCGCAGGTCCCTTTTTTGGATATCTTTCTACGATTTTTGACGTGGGCATGTCCTGAGATGAAAAGTCTTCTGAAAATTTTTCCCAAGATACCACTTCTAACACCAACCACCTGCAATTTACACAAATATCAAATCTGAGTAAAATCTCAATACTTAGCACAGTAAATAACCAAAATTATGACCAAATAACAGCGCGAAAGGTGCCTAATAATTTCTCTATCAAAGGAAGAAGAGATGATAAATCACTTTGTTACTTTAGCTATCTATGCTGCAACTTGGGGCATTCTCACTAATTTATTGCTTGTGAAACCAATATATCTTCTTCAATAATTTGCATCCTTTGGCCTAAAAGTGATAAAGTTCTGACAAGCAAAAACTTAATACAAGAAAAAGAGAACTCTTACCTTTCATTATTGTCTAGATAATTTTATCACACAAGGCAATCTTCTGCTGTACAATTGATAGGTTGCAATTTATTCATTTATTTTATTATTAATTCTTCCTATTACCTGACTTGATGTGGATTTATTTGCTGGATTCTACTCATTTTTAGTATTTGACGTTTATTTCAGGGAGTAGAATATAAATATGATAACAGGTGCCGAATTGGCAGGAAAAGAATTCAGATGATTAAGCTTGTCCCAGGGCACTTTTGGAACAGAAGATGTCACGCCCATTTTGGTAATTTTCGGGAAGGAACGACGGACGGAGGGCTTCTCTTCCTGTTGATGTGCGCCGCAATTAAAAAGGGGGAAGAAGAAGGAAGTGAGATAGCTAGTTTTTTTCCCTTAGTTCTGGCCGGCTGTAGCTTAGCAGAAAAGCTTGACTTTTGTTTTCCCTTGGACTTACTTTTGACTTTAGGAAATTACGCATGTGAGGAAGAAAAGCAATTGTTAGCTTTTAGCTTTGACATTTCTTCCTGATTTCTTTTCTTCTGAATCCTACGCATGGCAGGGTTTTTTTTTTGGGTGACAGTTTAGTCAGTTCCATAGCATATTTTTAGCATTCATAATATTGTGAAGAAAAGAGCTTTATCCTGAAACACAATCATATTCTAACAATTTTGCCTGTGTGTGTGTGTCACAATAGTGTGCTGCAGATAAATGTGCATATGCATATAAACGCTCAGACAACAATATTTCGTGATTGTTTGTTAGGCCTTGTTTAAATTATGGTTTCTTATGCTTTCCTAGTCCTACTTGTATTGGTACAAAAGCTTACAACTGTGTCTTTCAGGATGCTACAGCATGTGCACTTGTAGCACATAAATTACGCCGCCCTGTCAGGACATATCTCAATAGGAAGACTGACATGATAATGATTGGTGGAAGACATCCCATGAAATAACTTACAATGTCGGATTCAAATCAAATGGAAAGGTCACAGCTTTGCACCTTGACATACTGATTAATGCTGGGTTATCTGCAGAAGTTAGTTGATAGGTTGCAATTTTATCATTTATTTTATTATTAATTTTCCCTATTATCTGACCTATTGTGGATTAATTGTTAGATTCTACTCACTTTTGATATTTTGCATTTATTTCAGGGAGTAGAACAAAAATATGATAACAAGTGACAATTTAACAAGAAAAGAGCCCAAATAACAGAGCTTATCCCAGGGGTATTATTGGCAAAGGAAGACTTTTGCCCATTTTGGTAATTTCAAAAGAAGAGAGCAGGGCAGAGGCTTCTATTTTACTGGAGGGCTGGAGCGCCGCAGGGATCCTCGTCTTCTTCTTCCTCTCCGGAAGGAGGCCGCCGCACAGGAGAGAGCTGAAGCTTAGCATGAGATTTGCTTTTCCTTTTGGACTTTTGACCAAGGAGCTCCTGCGCATGGCAGGAATATCAAGGAATTGTTTCCTTTGACTTTTCTTGGGCTTCTTAGTAGTAGTTGCCTCACGGATTTCAGCAGCCAATGTGGCTTTTGTTGACTTTTCTTGTTAGCTTTATAGTAGCTTTTCCTTTGACATGTCAACGGCAATTGAGAGATTGAATCACTCTCCGTAGTTTCTCGTTTTTCCTTATTCCTTCGGCCGAGTTGAATTCGCGCGAGCAAGAACGATGGCCGCAGATTTTGCTTTTATTCCCTGTGGATTTTGTTCATCAATTATGAACTAATTTTCCAATTCTAGTCAAGGAGCAACGAAGGCTCTGATTCGCCTAAAATTGTGAGATCGATTTAATTTTATCTTTTTCTTTTATTTATTGGTATTCGCATATTTCCTGGTTACAGTGCTTATGATTGTTTAATTAATTGATTGCGTTGGATCCGGATAATTAGTTAATTTGGTAATCTATTGTCAATTGGGACGTTAAATCCGTAATTGTTTAATTGTCTCAAAATAGTGACGACTGGCATGATTGAGTTCGTGTCAGGGGAATACGCGGACTAATCTAAAATAACCCTGGTAGTGCGTTATTTGATTAGAATAGGGCTCCTCTAATACGTAAGGCAATTGGGGAATTAAATTCTATGGGCGTACCTAGGATTATTTCTCAATTAGAGCAGTGATTAACGAGCGTACCTTAATCATCGACACAGTAAAGAGGGGTTGACTGCCATCGCTTGTTTGGCAGTTATAACCTATTTATTAGTAAATAATTGGAATTGCTTCTGCTTATCGATGATCAATTAGGTGCACCATTGTTGAAGTTATTCCTTGGCTAGATTCTTAATTATCACTCATTAGATTTTAGTAAATTGTTATTTAATCTCTAGTTGGCTATTTTATTTTTATTATTTTACTTTTAGTTGGATTGCTTAAATTGTCACCTCTGGTATAAAAACACCCCCTTTGTCTCTGTGAATTTGAAAAGAAACAATTACACCCAGTCCCTGTGGATTCGACCCTTCTTACCACTATCTACAGAAATTAACTTTAGTTTGAGCAGGTTTTATTATTGCACAGGCTTCGACAACCCGTCAATTTTTTGCGCCGTTGCCGGGGACTGGTGCCAGATTAATTTGTTTCTTTTTGAGTTTATCTTATTTTCAATTTTTTTAATTTATTTTTCTCTTATTTTTTTTATTTTTTTATGGCTGCTAAAATTCCATATTTTGATGATAGACTGGACTTTGTTCCTGATTGGGGTTATGAGACTCATGTTTTTCCTAATGATCAATGGGCTGTTGCAAATTGTGGAACTTATTTTGACTCAGGTTATTCAACTGACACATGCCCCGCATTTCAAGATAATCTAAGTGCTCCAATTGATACTTTTGGAGATTTTTCACCCCAATATCAAACGCAGTATGACCCTTATTCAAACGGGTATGATCAAGGATGGTGGGATAATTTAAATTTTGATTATGCGACCGGGCCAATGGATTTCCAACAGCAAGAGTCTCAACAACCATCGTCTATGTCAGGTATGTCTTTTCAGGAATTGGGTGAATTATTTATTAATACATACCGATTCCAACAGGAGACACAAATGAGGAATGAGATGATGAAGGATGCAATGAGTTATCTGGCAGATCAACTATGTCTATTGACATCCAGAATGAATCGATTGGCTTCTCAAATGGAAGAATTGCCCTCGAAAACCATTGTTGATCTAGAAGAAAATGAGAGTGCAATTTGCTTGACTAGTGATGAGGAGATGCAAGAGTGTCAAAATGAGAAATCTACAGATGCAGTTGAAAAAGAATCCGAAAAGGAAGAAATGGAACCCCAACCGCAACCCATTCAAGTGAAAGAATCCAGTGAACAATCTCCAAATGCGGTGACATCTCCTCCACTCCTTCATCAATATTCTCCCGACTCTTACTCTTCAATTCCTGTTAACGAAATTGACTTTATTATACCAGACAATTTTGAATTTCATGACAAGAATAAATTAAGAGTGGCGATGGCAAGATATCTTGAACCAATAACTGCAAGTGAGGGAGGAGTGAACGGAGAATTCAACTTATCGTTGACTTGTTTGGCGCCATTTACTAGTCCATGGAAGCCCGTAACTCGTATGCCCAAGGATTACTCTATTTACGAGGGCTATCAGGACTATATAGTGGATGAAGCATTAAAACAAGCCACAAGATTTTATCCTCCCTAAGCAAACGTGATAATGTCTAGCCAAAGACATTAAAGAAAGGCGCTCATTGGGAGGCAACCCAATTATTTCTTTTAATTGTTTGTTTTGATTTCGTGTGATAGTTTAAATATGTTTTCCTTGAGTTTGATTGGTTTTGGGTTTGAAATTTTCGTTTTTGGTGAGTTGTAGGTATCTATCTGACTCGGCGCGCCCCCGTCATGTTGCAGGAAAAGCTCACGGTCAGAGAGCTCTCTTGCTCTCATGACGTGCCCGCGTCACGTTCGCAGGAAAGGTAAGGATTCTAAAAAAAAAAAAAAAAAAAAAATTTCTTATCACCGTAGGGTTTAAGGTTCTGCCAAGAATTCAAAGAAATAAAATTAAAAAAAAAAATTGATGTTCCGTAGAAAAGAATAAAACCAAAAAAAAAAGAAAAAGAAAAAAAAATATTTCTCACCATAGCTCAAATGGAGCCTAAAAAAAAAATTTTTCTTTTTCTTTTTCTTTTTCCTTCTTTTCTTTCTTTTTCTTTCTTTCTTCTTTCTTCTTTCTTTCTTCCTTCTCCCCTGCTCTCTCTCTGTTGTCCGAATCCCTTTTGCCCGCCGCCTACTCGCGCCGCCCACCTCACTCACGCCACCACCTCGCGTCTCGCACGAAGGACCAGCCAGCCATCCACTTCGCACCTCGCCACCCGCCGCTGCTGAAGCTCCATCGCCACCGCCGCTGCCCATCTTCCTTCCACACGCAGCTCCTTCCTCACGCAACCCAGCTGCCCTGCGCACGAAGCTCCACCGCCGCACAGCCAGGCAGCCGTGCCTCCCTCCAGCTCCTCTGAGCTCCACTGCGTCGCCACCTCCGCCCCTCTCTGCTCGCCTAGCTCGCACGCCACAGCCCAGCAGCCTGAGCTCTCCGCCTTCAGTGCCGCGCCTCTTTCACCAACCCTCGCGACTGACGGCCGCTTACGCACCTCTCCCTTTCTGTCGGAAGCAACGCCAACAGCGCTGCCAGCAGCCGCGCTCCCAACTCCTCCTCTCGCCCGAAGTCAGCCCGCGGCGCCACGGTTGCGCCGTTCTCCACATCTCTCACTCTCTCTCCCGCGTCTCGCAGCCCCAATCTCTCGCACTCTCACGCCAGCCACTACCACCCCAGTTCTTTATTTGGTAGCCGGTAGAGGTATTTCAACCTCGATCCCCAATTTTTGGTGTTGATTGGTATCATTAGCGGCTGTGTTACTTTACTCCGGATTTGTTCATTTGCTGTTGTTGCCTATCTAATTGATAGTGCAGGGATTATGCCTGTGTTACTACGGTCTATATTCTAACTTGCTATTTCGGGTCGGCCAATTTCTTGGGAATATTTATTGTGTTTTTTGTGGATTTGAGTTCAATTGTTTTGGGTTATTGGGTGTTTGACAGTTGCCCTGCTCTTAGCCTCTTTGATTAGCACATTCGTTGAAATTGGTTGTGCTCTAGCACAGTGCCGGGGGGCATTTGTTCAAACTTTTGGGGGGAATTGTTGAAGTTCTTGGGTGGGCTGGAATTTTAACAATTGTCTGTGATATTTTGGGGAGGATCTCGGCCAGTGTTGTGCTTGTTGAAATTTTGGTTGATTTAATTCGGCAACTGCATTCCTTGTTGGCATTAGTAGTTTTTAATCGAGTTTTTGAGGACATTCTAGATGTTGGTTTATATTGCTGATTTGGAGGAACAGTGTCTATGATTTTGGTCTGATCATTTGTGCAATTTGTTGACTCATTTGAGGACTTATTTGTTTCCTGGGTTTGTTTATTGACTTCGGTGGACTGGGTTCCCACCTACGGTTCCTCTACTTGCTCTATTCATTGGAATTCTAGTCGCCTGTTGCTCTTCTTTAGAGATTTAGAATCTTTCTTGTGACTAGATTAACACTTTGGACTATTGCTTTACTACTGCTCTACTTTGCTATAGCAATTTCATTGATTTTGGACTACGTTTTGCACCAGTGGTACTGGTGGGAATATTTTCAATTGAATTTGGTACCTCTATTGGGTTGGCTGAGTTATTATTGTCAAATATCTAAGTTGTCATTGTTGAAATTGCTGATTTTAAGTTAAGGCATTAACTGGCCAACTGGAGCCATTTTTTTTTGAGATTTTGGGTGGACAGAGTTTTGCAATTGCTGGTTGAATTGAGTTATGATGTCTCAGAACTTGGGTGCGCACTTCCACCACATCGATTTCCCTCCATCGTCCCCGCCTACCCCGTAGCCACTTGAGAGGGAAGTTTCGTTGTCCTCTTCACTTTAATTGCTTTAATTCCTCCATTGAGGACAATGTAGGATCTAGGTGTGGGGGGAGGGACAGCTATGCCAGCTTTTAGTTTTCAGATGTCCTTCTTTTATTTCTAGTTTGTTATTT